GGCTCTTGAAATTTGATGATCCGGAGTGAATGGATCGAACAAAGAGCCGAAGAGCCGATCTGATGGGGGCTTTTCCGGTAGAAGGGGAATTTTCTCCCCGACAATTTTGACATTATTCGATACCTAGGGATGCAGTGGGTACCTGGTAAATGTGTCATCAAAATTTTACGATTCAATTTTTTTTTATGGGCTCTTGAAATTTGATGATCTGGAGAGAAATCGTGTATGGGTGGCAAGGTGTAGGGGGTTTTTCCGGTAGGAAGAGACTTTCCTCGGGTTATGTTTTCGTTGATTGACGTATTGTTCCTAGAAAATAGGGAGGGTGCTGGAAAACAGAAAGAAATAGCGGAGAAAATTCGAATAGTTGAGTGGGACAAAGTGAACGGGTGATGGCAGATGTAATTCACGGTAGGCAGCGCTGCGGCAGCGCGGCGGTGGGTAGAACTAGTTTTGCGGCACCCTCTTGTTCCGCGGAAAGCGGGAGGCCCGGGTGTGTTGGTCTATGCGCAATCGGATACGAGTCGGATAGATTCAGCCCGGTCAATTTTTTGGAGAATTTTGTTCGTATTTTGTTCTAAAGTTCCTAAAATTTTCAAGGAGAAATATCAATGAATTTCCTCAAAAATAAACATTTTATCAAAGGAAATTTGGCAACTCTTAAATGCTAATTCGGCGATCTTCTTTAACACAGCAGAGTTGAAGTTTCAGATTTTTTGCGGTTCCGAATTGACTCTCGAACTAATGACTCTTAAAAGAAACTAATTGTACCGTTGAATCCCGTATACCTACAGTTTCACTTTAAACCCACGATTTTTGAAATTGGATCAAAATGCAGGAATCACTGCAGAGACTTGAACACAGTGCAGAGAAGTAGGCGTATTGACAAACGGGAGTTGCTTAACGGATGGAGACATTATTATTTGAATATTTCATCAAGCTGAACCACACAAGGGATCGCGATGATGGCTTAATTCAGTTCTCTTTTCAGAGACTTTAACGCATGCGCAGAAAAGTAGGCGTACCTACGAACACGAGTTTCTTAACGCATTGAGACATTATATTATGTGAAAATTTCAGTATATTTATTTACACCTGTAATTATTGGTGAGAAATAGCTCAGATATTCAGCCCTGGTCATGGAACCATGCCAAAAATTGTATGACTATGTATGCATTCGTTATTCATTTATTTTGTTTTCAATCAACCATGTACACCTCTGTATTTACTAATAACTATACCCCTGAAGATGATCCACCGATCGAAAGGCTCAAGATGATAAAAATGTAGCATGATTTCATTATATAAAATACGCAGTTATTTGGCTATAACTACTTATTTATTATTTTCATCATTCCAAACTGCTAACTGCAACATGTTTAATGATTCAAAAAAGATTTATTGGGTCCCTCCAAAAATAATCCGTATGCCGAACACGCCACGTTGGCCGCCTCCTTACGTCATTTGCGTTGAGATGATTCAATGTCTTCGAACAATATCGCTTCGGAAGAATTAAACCATTTCGAAAATTTGCAAATCCTCCCAAATCTCGTAACTTCCATACCAGAAAATCGGAATTTACTGGTGATCAAGCATTGTTGCCAGATAGTGCAGAAAAATCAGCACATTTCCCCATTTAAACTCATGCGAAATATCCGTATTTTATCGCACAATCTGGCAACCTTGTGATCGAGAGCGAGACGTGTGCAAGACAACACCCCAACACACACAATGCAAAAAGATACATTCTTCACGATATTCATAAAAACGGAACTGGAGGAACCGGTGAAAACGGCGCTATGCGATCTTTGGCTAAACTTAGAACAGGCACCAACTGTATCGCAGCGCACGGAGGACACTTACACGTCCTCCACACCTGCGACTACAACAACAGCACATGTAGGTGCTACCTCACCAAGATCCTCCGGGGCCGTTTCGGAAAATGGTTGGCTCGCAAATGCTCTAGCACACGAAACTTGTCAATCCAAAGATGGCGTGCTTTCGCAATTTATACGTCATCACACGGTCAATCCTTAAAATTAACAACTCAGGGGGAAATGGACCACTAGACAAGGTCTGAATTTGAGCAATCTGATACATGTTTCTTGACCAGAATTTCACGCAGAATACGATTCACACAACGAAAATTACTGAAACCAACTCCTAACGAAGATATTAACATTTGTACTTCACATTGGTGACGAGGAATTTGAACTGCCCGCTTACAAGAAACTCAAAGCTCTACGTGAGTCAAATCGCGCACTACGACGTTGTTAGCAAGCTTCTCAATCGAGCAATGTTCATTTCCCACCATGTGTTGTTCAA